ATGATGTCGAACTTGTGCGTCTGAGCGAAGCCGTCGAACCAGTGGGAAACAAAGTAGGTGCCCTTGGGTGTGTCTTCAATCTTGCAGCTGCCCGGGCCCGTTCGGTAGAGGGCGCCGGCGGCCCAGGCTGGGATCTGGCCTTGAATGTGCAGTTCGATGGGGCCGCGTTCCTCGGTGAGGCCATCAAACTAGTCCTGTCAGCCAACGTCTTGAGGAAGATTTGTGTGAGAGAAGGAGAACTCACGCCTGCTTCATTTGGCCATTCATCATAGGGCGCTCTGAGACGGTTCTCCTCAAACATTTGTAGGTCTGCAGCCTCGTCTTTGGCGGTGCGCCTGACGGTTCTGGCTGGGATCCTGGTATTGGCGGACATTGTGATGGAGGTTGTGGACGTCTTGGTTGTAGTGGTGGTGGCCATTTTTTGGAAGTTATCTATGCAAACGAATATGAAGGGGTAGCGATTTTATGGTGCTAGGTTCGCGGCTTAGTGTGCCGTCTAAAGCCCAAGGTCAGTAACATTTCCAAGTTGGTAGATGAGGTGGAGATGGGCACGAGGTAAGATAGGCGGTAGAGAAGTGAGTGTTTTTCATTCATGAATGCTGTATGAACAGCAAGCATAGAGTGAAAGGTGCCCAAGGTGAAGTAAACACAAGAAGGCTGCCACGTGAACTGTCGGGTGTCAACCTACGCTATCTTTGAGCCGGTGTTTGCTAGCGACCGGATCGGTACAAGTGGCCGGTAAAGCTCGGTGTGTCGGTGAGGTAGGGCGGTTTTCGGTAGAGTCGGTGAACTGTGAAAGGAGTGTAGAATCCGCTATGCAAGAGAAGGACAGCCTTTTGGCCCCCAGGGAGAAGAAGCAAGTATTGTTGGTTGGCAGCGTCTAATGACCCATGTCAGAGAGGCAGCACAGATGGATGACACGTGAGCAAGATGGGATCCTGGATGAGCTGCAGAGCGGAGATGAGAAAGAGGGAAGAGGACGGCGATCTTTTAAGTATGGTAGGTAGGATGCATATGTATGTCGACGGGCCATGGGATGGGCCTGCTTACATGAAGGTGTTGCTGCGTAGCATGTGAGGCGATGTACAAGTATTAAGCGCCAGAAGCATTCATCAAACGGGATGAATGAAGCGGTGCCGCATGAGTATGTGAGATGTATCTCAGTACTCCGTCAACGTAGAGAGGTAGCTGTCAGTAAGGACGAGATGGAGGAGACAAGCTAAGTGGTGCGAGAGCGAGGTGGCTATTGTTGCGGGAGGTGAGCAATTATCGGCCGGGGGCACAGAAGTGCGGTGAAAAGCGTTACGGACGTAGGAGCAGAAGTTTGTTCGGTTAGTTGACGAGGGGGGTGTGGATGAGAGTGAATGAGAAACTTTTCGTCGTCAATGGTCGATCGATCAGACCTCTTTACCCGGCGTATTGGTGAGATGGGACGGGGATTGAGATATCCATGCATCACTAACCATGCAACGAAGATGGGATTCCGAGTAGCTGTAGCGAAGACTGCAGATTGAGGAATCTCAGATCCGATCAGATAGCTAGTCAAAAGAAGAAAAGCAACGTGATTGCGATGGCTCGGTACCTTGAGCCTTCAGGTCCGGCGAAACGGAGGCGAGAAGAGGAAGAAGAAGGGGGTTCACTCTCACTCCCGGGACAACTTGGCAAGGTAGTAGAATTCTCATGCAAGCCGTTTTGGAGGAGGCGGCGCGGGCGGGACGGTACGGCCGTAGCAGGGCGGACGATGGTCAATGTCCGCGGCACCAAGAAGAGCCTATTGATGCGGGCTTTTTACCGAATCCAGACAGCTTCCAGATTGAGGAAGAGAACCGTTCTTTGAAGTTGCAAGCCAGTGAGGGTCTGGGTGATTCCCGAAGATTGTATTGGTGGTGTTGGCGTTGACGACGGTGAGACTGAGTAAGGTACGGATGAGAGTGGTGTGGTTGTTATTGTTATGGTCGTTGTGTGCTCGGGTGTGGCACAAGCGGCCAAGTAACGTTTAGTGGCGGTGGGTGTTGATGTTGTCTGTGAGCAAAGCGGAAGCGGGAGCGGGAACGGCTTGTAAAAGTGACTGAGATGCGACTGTCTTTGATTTTTCCTTCTTTTCTTCCTGTTTCTCGTCGGCCCGAGCAGATAGGGATACATTGTATAAACAGACGCATGGAGAAGTGAGCGGGTGGTTCATGTCATCATTGATTCGGACAGCGGTGCCAACGGCGCAATTGCAGAAGGCCGAGGGTCCCGCTGCATCTGCCATGGCGTCGTCATCGAAAAAGTGTCAACTTGGGCCCTGCCACAGACAGCATGTGTCAAGGTGTCGATTACTTCGCACCCAGAGGTAGTAGACGCGTGCAACGAGCCTTTCCCTCTTCATTCCTCAATCAGCCACACCCGAAACCCCAGAAGCCAAGGTGAAAGATCTGACCGACGTTTAGGGCCCCTGGCTATAGGGATGGGCCAGGCATAGAGCTACTGAAGAAGCTTATGTCAGGCCTCAGCTCGGAATGTCAAGTACCACGGCGTACGGAGAAGATGCTAGTGCGTGCATGCTCATGTCATGTCGGAGCGTGGAGACTTTTTTGTTTTATTTTTGTGAGATGTGCGATCGATGCAACGTGATCATGAAATGATAACCGACTACCGATATCAGACCGCATTCACCCAACGTCAGATGAGACCCATGCGACGGAAGATCAATGTCTCTTTCATTCTCGCGTTTCCTGTGTACGGCGTGCCCACGTCGAACGACACACGAAAGGCAATGGAGCCTCTTTGTTTCGTTTTGTTTCGACTTACTTCGTTAATAATCGTTGATTCGGATAAGAATGAGCGAACCTCTCAACCGGGATTGCTCCATCATCTTTTCTTCTTCTTCTTCTTCTTCTTCTTCTTCTTCTTCTTCTTCTTCTTCTTCTTCTTCTTCTTCTCCTTGTTGGTTGGTTGGTCGGTCGATTGGCGGCGGATGGCTCTGGTGAGAGGTGTCGGTCTAGGCCGGGCGCTGCAGTCTGGAAGATTCAGGTGGATCAAGGAAGATGAGGTACGTACCTCGGAGGGGAGGGGCGGGGGGGACTTGAGATGGAAGAACATCGGGAACAGCAGCGACTCACGGCGGCGGATTAAGCGAGGGGATCCACTCGGCCTGCGGGACCTGGAGTTACCCAATCCCCGCTCCGTGCCTCAAGTCCCCCCTGTAAAGTACCTGGATACCTACACATCTCCACTATCAACAGGCACGTACAGGATACTGCCCTTCACCTGTTCCCTCAGCGTATATCTGGCCAACGTCAAATGTTCCGGTCCAATGCAATGCCCGACTGCATTTGGAGCACGATCACTACTAGATCATGTGGCTTCTACAACAGTAGCCTGACATCCAACGTCATGTACTTGAAAAACTACGCCTCTGATGTAGCAGCAACGGCTTCCGACCCGATGGCGGCATGGCGGCCCCACATGAGCTCCGGCTCTATCCCACACCACCTCCGTCAGCGGCAGCCGTAGCCAATGGCCCTACATGGACTTGCCTCAGCCGTGGCTACTGTGTTGTTGCCATGTTCAAAAAGCCACATATATCATCTACCTATCCAAGGAGCCGAGGTAGCTATCCGTGCCTAAGGTACGGTACTTATCTGTTCTCTCATCGCATGGAACTGAGACATGCCTTGTCACACGGCTGGCCACGTCTTGTCCTCGACCACGGGCCATTGCGGCCTACCGCATACTGACAGATTTGCCAACATCATGTCAGCAGTGTCTGGTCACTGATTTACAACTCCGTGTGGGTCCTCCCTTTCTTTCCGTCGAGCGCGGGAAGCCTGCTGAATCGATCAACTATCGACCTAGATTGCACCTCTGGCAGGAACGCACACGTCGTTCAACGTCTGCCGCTACACAGCACTGACAGTCCCACTCATTCCACTACATCAGGTTCATGTACATACTTCAGTGTGATGGGACGGTACTCGGTAGTGCCATCCTGCCGCCCTACACTTAACCAATACACGAATGAGTTGCTCCCTTTTCCCCAGTAAGGGGTCGAAGCTTGATTCCGTTCAAGCAGACTTGACCAGAAAGTCCATCATCCTAGACCTTCTTCTCGATACTATCAACATGCCAGAGTCGCCTTTTGCCTTCTTTCGAAATTGTTCGCTTCTTCTATCAATGTTACTTGTCCTTCTCTGGACCCTAGTGTCTGCGTCAAGTCATTCTTCAGGCAACGCAGTCGCTCAACTTGCGGCCAACGTCTTCCTCTTGTGGGTTTGCCGCCTTCGCCCTTGACGCACCAGCTTCCTGGCGACATGGTAGACTCCCTTAATACCCCTTAGGTGTGGTCAAAGACCGCTCAAAGATCTTCAAGACTCCTTCTTACGCGTGATGAATCAAGGGGCGCTTCGCAATGCCACTCCTCAAAGCTTGTTTATGATGGATCTAGATATAGATATGATCTGGCTGCTTTGTCTCAGCAACAACACAGGATTAGGGCTGGTGAAATCCCTGGTCGGCTTATACTAATCTCAAGTTAAGTCCTGCCCATGCGGGCTCAACTAGATTCTTCGTTTCCGAGACTAGACTTCTCCTGTAAATGAGTGCTGTAAGAATCGTTGTAATGTACAAGCTCCTTTTACTAATAGCTCTCTAAGCCAGTCCTTCGCTCCTTCATTCACGCCATACTAAAAAAAGGGATTACACAACTCCCTTGGGGTACTGACCACTGCACCAAGAAGTTTCTATGAACGACGGGGCATATAGGGAGTTTCGAATTTGTACTCGACTTTTTGTATTCCATTTTGCCCTCCTCGCAGAGGTAGTGTTAATAAGTTTTCGGTAAGCTACACAACTCTGGGTACAAGCTCTACCACTTCCAAATCTCGTCCGAGTGAAGAGGGCGCTGTCAGAAACAATCTCTCACACCATCCTCCCTGGATGCCTCCGCCACCGGCCATTCCGTCGAGAAATCTTCACAGGACCCTCGAGAATCGTTCGCTCCAGCGTAGTCTAGCTCATCAAGCGGACCCCCTGAGCAACGCTCCCGCACTGCCCTCTATCAGCCGAAAGGCCGCATTCGGCAGCAGCTTCTTGCACGCGGGACACGCGGGCTCCTTCTTCCTCAGACTACTCTCCGTCAACTTCTGAAATAGACATCGTTTCCCAACAAAGCATTTGCACTGCTTCATCCGCACAATCGGCTCTCCGCGGTGGGTGCCGCGGACACCGTGGTCAAAAGGCTTGAACATGGCACCCGGCGAGTGATCGTAGTATTTCTTATTGCAGACAGGGCACTCGAGGCGCGCCGGCCCCTCCCAGTCGCTTACATCCTCCGCTACGGAATCGATCAGGGTACGTCTCGCCTTGTAGGAGATGACTTCCGAGTTCCACTCTTGGCGGCGATCGTGGTAGTACTTTTGGATCAGCTGTACAAAGTACATGAACGGCTTGTGCGGCAATGGTGCGTTGTCCGTCGAGCTTGCAATCTCGGCGAGCTTGTCTAACCCTGGGACGGTCGACGGACTGCGGAACACGAGGGGCTTGATGATGCTGCAGAGCACCGTTACCGCGAGACCGAACCGGCTGTTGGAGATGCCGTTATCGTGCAAGAGAACTTCCGCCATGAACTTGACCAGGTTAGCGCGCCTCGACATGGAGGTCGCCTCCAGGGTATGCGCATCAGTCCACCCCGTGCCATACTCTGCGTTTAGCAAAATCAGGGTCGAAGCCGCCTGTGAGTGGTCGCGGATATTCTTCTCCAACGTCTTGCGACGACTTTTGATAAGGTAATTCGAGAACAGAGGCTGGTGGGAAAGTCCGTCCTTGAAGTATAGCTTCTGCGCTTGGCAGAAGCCGGAGAGCACGGTATGTCGTAACCTGAACAGGTTCTGCATGCCAGGGTTCTGTATGCGAGGATCCGACTCGGCCTTCTCCCCGGCCATATCTGTAAGGTACTTGCGGGCCGCCAAGGCCGGGTTGTAGTAAAACGCCCGCGGGCCGTTCGCCTCACAGGAGCACGCGCCGACGCGGTGATCGTTCTCCTTGCACCGGCGCTCCATGAAGAAGGCCCGGAACCACAACTCGCTCATCTCCTCGTTCATAACGTCGCTGTAAGGGAACCTGCTCCGGATCCACAGCAGGACGGAGTGCGCGTACTCGGTCATGTAACTCTGGGCCCATGCGTTGTCCTGGACGGCGTTGCGGTGCCACTCGTCGTGCGAGGGTGTCACTCGGGGTACGGCGGGGGACTCGCCCGAGCAGCCGGGGCACATGTAGGTGTAATAGCTGGTGCGGTTCTCCCATTGCTGGGCCGGGCAGGGGAAGATATGCGAGCAGAGGATGTTGGCTATGATGCGGTGACGTCTCTTGGGGGCATTGGGACGCGGGCTGGCCGGGCAGTTGTAGAACTGCAAGTGTTTGATACACATGGGAGCGGTTGATGGCGGATGAAAGGATATATAGTTGCTCGTCTTTGATGATTTGAAGCCCGCTTTCGAACTGAATGATGAGTAGAGAACGGTAAGTTCTGACGATTGCTCATCTTTGAAGCTTACACCCAGGACTTTGTATGAATTAGAATGTTAGGCAAGAGGACGTTTCCACAGGGCGAGCAAATATCCAAATATATCCATCAAAGGCGAGAATGAAAACCACCGAGTTCCAACTTGCAGACCGCGTATTCAAAGATGCCGGAGCTCTTGACAGAATTGGCATCGCTTTGTGATATTACCGACATTGACAATGTTCTTCCCACAGTCGCCCGGAATCGGCGTCATTGTAGACTGGTAGACAAAGGAGTCCATCGATATTCAACGCTTTCAATTGAAAGACTACAGGATACTTGACTTCGTTTGTAAGATAGCGAGACGTTTAAACACATACCATCCAGTCTTCATCTCGATTAAGACCGGCGCTTGAGAGGGTGGCTTAACTGGTGGGAGCGTCGAGAGGACTTGTGGTGTATCTTGGTCTGTGAAACCCACCTCGCACGTCAGTGGCCCCTTCAAGTTCCTCTCTTACTCATTCATGAGACCGACTATCGAGTGCTTAGTGGTCTACCTAAGGAGCCCGAGGTCCATACGGTCTCTGGACAGCCATCTTTCATCACGACGTCGACATCAGAAGTCTATTATGATTGACGGCTTCAATCCAGCGCATTCTGCGCTTCAAGATTCTGGTTCTGCATCGCTGCGGCGCAGTAAGCGAAGTAAGCCCCAACATCGACCTCCAACCGACGGTCCGGAATGGCGGCATAGTGGAAAGGCCCGAGGCCTTCTTTAGAGATCCGCGACAACAGATCGCTGGTTTGAAGTTCCCAGTGATTCTAGCCCATGGATTTATCATAGTCGCCAAGTTTGCGTCTCATCAGCTCCAGCATTTGCAGCGGCCTAGTACCTCATCGTCAAAATATCCTCTCAACGCCCCCAATAAATCCCGCACGATCAAGTTTGCAATCTAGGATTGATAGTAGTGTTTGCTTCAAGATACAGGGATATCCCCTAAGCGAAAACGAATGGTTTGCCAAGACTTTCGTCGTCGAGGTCTACTCCTTACGTGGGCCACGATCCTGTTGCTCGAGCCAACGTCGATGCATGCGGTGCCAACCGCGATCGAAAATCGCCGATGTTTCCTTTTCCGAGATCGTGTCTTTTGTGAGATGATTTGGCGCCTAATGCTGCGTTATAACGTGCGAGATTCGAGATGCTGGGACGACCGGATGGCGAGGGTACCGAGTGTCGACATGTCGAATCCCACCGTACTCCATTTAGAACGTCAAGCTGCAAGTGATGAGGCTCTTCGACCCGACGAAGGGGTGACCATCACTAATGGTGATACACATCTCAACTGCTACAGATATTGATGAAACTGATAGATATGTACGATGTTTATTCTGCTCAAGTCACTGTCGACTCCCCAATCTTCCCTCGCAGCACGCTCTCAGTTTAAAACTCGGCGTGGCGCTGGTCCCAAAGCAGAATACTTGTTTGGCCACGACCAACATGTGTTTTCACCACATGAGATTGTTTGCCCGCGCCACTCACACAACCTTGCGTCTCTGACGAGCCTCCTGCTTTCTTCAGTCGTTGGACAACTCGCAAGGGGGGAAAGGGGAAACACGATTCCTCGCGTTCGGCGAAAGTCCATGTTCCTTGTCCTCCATCGCCGAAATGGCCTTCATATAGGAACGCCAAACGTCCCAAGCCGTAATACAATGAAGCCTGAGTCTCCCTCCCTCTGATCTGCATTTCTGTCGTTTCCATTATTCTCCCTCCGAAAGACAAAAGTCGGGAATGGTGGCGTTTTCAGACACTCCCAGTTCCTCCTCGCCACGTTGTACCATCGTAGGGAACCTGGTGGTATCAGCCTGCATCCCCTCGACAATGTCCCAACCGCACGCCGACCCCGAAGCACCGCTCTTCGGCGTCGCCCACAACGTCTCCCGTACGGCCCTCACAGCCTTCACGTGGGCCAACGTCGCCACCTCGTACATCTTCCTCTCCCTCCGCCTCCTCGTCCGCTGGCGCCGGAACCGGCACCTCCTGCGCGACGACTTCTGGATGGTCTTTGCCTGGCTATGCCTCTTGACCATGGCGATCCTCCAGATGCAGCAGATGGACTCGTTGTGGTACATCGTGGAGCTCAAGGCGGGCAGGTTCCTCCCCGCGTCCAAGGGGGAGGCGGACTCGCAGCTGGAGCAGTGGTTGCGCTGGTCGTATGCGCTCACGTACCTCTTTTGGACGGGTTTGTTTGCGGTGAAGGCGAGTTTTCTGAATGTGTTTTTCAGACTCGTCAGTCCCATCCCATGGCTGCGCAAGGTGTGGTATGCGACGGCCGTGTTTTGTCTCCTTGCGTATGCTGGGGGGTGGCTCTCGGGGTCGCTCGTGTGCGATACTCCGTCCGACTATTTTCGAGCTGGTGAGTCTGTTTGACCCTTTACTCTTGGAAACCCCGGCGGGAAATTTTGTGTCTGATGGTGTATGTACTAGGAAAATGCCTCTCCCCAAAGGAAGTTTACTTTTACCGCTTCTCCATCTTCTTCGCAACAGCAGCCGACGTCTTCACAGACCTGCTCATTATGGGCCTACCCATCGCCGTCCTCCCCTCCCTCCAGCTCGACTTCAAGAAAAAGCTTGGTCTCGGGGTCGCCTTTTGCCTGGCACTCATCACAATCCTTACAGCCATTGTCCGCATGACGCAGGTGCTCAAGGGCGAGACGATGGACATGGTTGGCCTGGCTGTGTGGAGTCTTACCGAGCTCGGCACCGCCATCATCGTGGGATCACTCCCGCCACTGAAGGCTCTCTTGACGCGTGGTATGAGGAAGTACAACGGGAGCAAGACGAACCGCAACAAGTCGTACATCAACTGCAGAGGCGAGCCCGGTAACGGCTACGGCCCGAATAACACTTCCCGGTCTGTCATGGTTGCCGAGTCGATCCCGTTGGATGATAGGCATAGGAGCGAGCAGTTTGATGGAGGGATATACGTTCAAAAGACATGCGAGGTTCGCGTCGAGGGCGTTTCGAAGAGAACGAATGATGAGGAAGAGGCGGTTGTAACGAAGAGTTTTGCTGCTAGTAGACCTCCATAGACGTCAAGGAATTCTCTGCTGAGGCTATGAAAAAGATGGTGCAGCTTGGGTTTATACTAAAGGGCCTAGACTATTACATTGAACCTTGGACCGCGGTAGACCAAGGATAAGAATCGAAGAAAGGAGTTTGAGTGCCCCTTGAGCTGCATCAACTTCATCGCCTGCAACCATGTTTATCAGTTCAAGTCTTAGCTGGCTGTGGTTTTCTGGCAGTGCTCAAGCTCCATCTAAGATCATTGCATCATGTATTCCTTAGGAATACCATATTTCATGACACGTAAAATGACTAGAAATTATATTTAGGTCGATGCACCATTCTGTAATGCTGATTGTAGCTCTGTATAGATAATATTGAGCCTTTCATGAGAACGCCCGGTCGATCGTCAGCCCGTCTCAATCTCGACTTGCTGCCCGGCTTGTGTAACAAAAGAAATTGACTTGAAAATAAAAGTGCGAATGCAGACGCGGTGTAAAGCAGTAGGGTATCTCCAGCTCCTGTCCTCAACTATGCCCAGGTTCTCTCAACGCCATTTGTGTTTGTTTGTATACCCAAGAAAATTCAACAAAAGAGATGAGGGATAGCGCCCGTATCCCTGAAATGTAGCAGGCCATGCTCCTGCCGAGCCACGTAGCTACGGTCCTCTTCTGGCCTCACTCTTGCAAGACCTCTCGCAGTGCATCGACGTCCACTTGGTCGGGCAGCACCTTGCTTGGAGGACCGCGACGCTGATGAGCCGCCAGGTATTCTTGGAAACCTGGTATAGCACCAGCTTGATTGATGCCCGGCGGCCTAAGAAACTCCTTTTCCTTCTGCTTCTCTTTCCCGCTGCGTTGCGCTGGTGTCGGTGTGGGCGGTGCCTGCGTAGGTGTTGTGGCTCGGCCTGCTGCCGCGCCAGTCCATGGCCTCCAGCTGACCCATCGACCTATTCCTCCAGAGTTTTGCGAACCTTGAGAGTGGGTACTTGCTGGCGAAGCACTTCGGACTGGAGTGGAAACCATCCTCGACACCGGTCGCCCTGCCAGACTATCGCGAAGCAAGGCGTCACTCCTTCGATCGCTTCCTCTCAATATCGTCGACCGTGCCGTAACTCCAGTAAACACAGCATCGGCTCCACCCAGAGGACGAAGGGTCAATTGACTCGGTCGTACTTTGAGTGTGTGAATGTCCAATCCTCCCGACAATGACATGATTGACTCGTGGGAGACGGCACGGTGCAGACCCCTCCGCGGTAGTTCTTCATCCTTGGAGAATGAGATTTCTGTCTCGGTCTCGGTTTCTGTCTCTCCGTGATCCTCGTGGGAAGTCAGCAACCCGGGCACTTCCTCCCCGCTGTGATCCTCTCTCTCTTCCTCAATCGTAGACGAAATAGGCTGAGAGACATGTACTGTCGGGGCGGCTGGTGGCGCTGGCGAACCCAAGTTGAGGAACTTTGGAGGTACGGAGAAACTGCGAATCGACGCCTCGGAAGGGCGCTTGTTGTGAGAGACTTTCCATGTAGGCGACGTAGGATCCAGGCTAGTCGTCGGAGACATGGGTATGTCCATCTCCAGCATTGGGCGGTCGAACATGGAGAGACGAGGGTTTGACTGAGGCGAACTTGGGACGGACGACGGTGCGAATTCAGAGGGTTGCTCCGAGAAGACGGACCACCGATTTGAGGGCGGCATCGAAACTGTCGACGTTGATCCCGTGTGAGAATGCGAGGCCATGGGGGTCACTGGTGAAGGGCCGGGCCGCCACACGGCCGGAGGAGTGGAGGATCGCGAGACGCTGGCGGGAGAGAAAATTGCCGGGTTCAGACTGTGGCGCTTCTTCTTCTTGTTTTTTTCGGCGACATGGTAGTGGTGGTGAATGTGGACTTGCTGAGAAATATTGTGCTGGGTCATCTCGCCCAATTCCGGCCCGATTTCAGCACGCAAGGTCGACGCAGCACTGGCGTCTTCCTCCCCGATAGGTTGATGACACATTAGCTGGTCCCGCATGGCTTGTATTTCGTCGTTTGAGTTGAGAAGCATTTCTCGCAACTCAGCCATGCCCAGCTGCAGATTAGCATTGTCCTGCAGTAAATCTCGGACAAAGTGAGATACCACGTTGGTGGCGGGCTTCCCGTTGGTAAGCGACTTGGTGGCGGCAGCTCCCTTGAGGCGTCCAGCGGCAAGATTCAGTTCCTTTTCCATCTCACGCTGGCGCTCCACACGGCCCAAAACCTCGGCATGGCGTTCGCGCTCTTCCTTGGCCTCTTTTTCCATACGCTCCAGCTGTTCCTGAAGATCAGAGATGCCCCTCTCGGCTTTTCTCCATCGCTGCATGGCGGAGCGGGCCTCGGATTCGGTGGTGATTAGGGTGTTTTGCAGTCGCAACTGCTCCTGTTCGAGAAGCGCAATATGCCTCTCCATCTCTGCAGCACGAGCCGCAGCGCCCTCGAGACGCCGCACTGCTTGGTGAGACGACAAGAGGGTAGCCTCAAGGGTTTGAATGCGGATATCTGAATCCTGAACCGTGTTGTTGAGCATTTCGAGCTGGTCTAGGAGGGTACGGTTCTCTTCGACGGTCCTCGCGTTCTCGGCCTGTAATTCCACCTTTTCGTTTTCCAACTGTTCTATGCGGCTCGTAAGGGACATGCGATCTCGTTCGGCATCGGCCATGTAAGCCTCATGACGAGCAAGAAGGGCCTGGAGAGGGAAGGTCAGCGACATGGCGACATGTGCAGCAAGAGAAGACGACGGTGCATATGGCAAGATTCGCAGGTCTGGCTGCGAAGGCAGAGTTTGCGGGCTGGAGCGGTGCCGGGACTCCCCATCTTGAAGTTAATCACGGGAAATGAGGTGTTGGAATGTCTCGAGAGATTGGCACGGGCTTGGGAAGCGGGACGGCTGGAATGTTTCGACGGGAGAGGGAGAGAAGGGGAAAGCTAGAAAAAGAAGAGCGAGGACGCACCTTGCCCAGCTTGGCAGCGGTATGGACATCCTTTTCGACGGTTTCGAGCACGGAGCAGCTATGCTTCAAATAAGCACAATCGTTGCGACCGCAGCAGCATCGCATTCTGGACCCCTCGTCCGGGCGGGGAGCGGAAGTTTGGACGAAGTCTGCCATGGGATCGGCGTCGCGAGGACGGGCGTCATCGGTGTTGCGGATGGTGTCGGTGTAGTCGTCGGTGAAGTGGGTGTCTGCCGTGTATCGGTAGGCCGTGTTGTTCAGGTCGAGGTCTGCGTCTTGTTCTGGGTCTGCATCTGGATCCGGAGGTGTACGGGTCCCGAGTTCTGCCATCGTTATTGCGGCAGAGTCGTCACCACGGTGGACAGCATGCTGAGGGCCCTGAGGTGAAGGCACGGACGTTGGGATCGGGGCTCGGGGTGCCGGTCTGGGTCGAACTAGTCAGGCAGAGCTGAGCGAGAGCGGGGAGGACGAGGTTATCCGTAAAGGGACGATTCACGAGAGACAGCGAGAAGGGGGGTGTCTCTCTTTTTGTGAATTGTGCCAGCCAGAAAAGGCCGGTTTATGTTGGAGTTGTGACTCTGTGTGTGTGCGTATGTGGGTGGGTGCGTATCGTTGGCACTCTGTGGTGTGCTGTGCGATTCGTAGGTATTGTTATGGCCGGTGAGTTGGCGGCCGGTGACGCGATTGGGCTCTTGGAGGCCACCTGCAGCGAGGAGGGGACTGTATTTCCCAAGGTGTGATTGTTATCGCGATGGACGCCTAGGCGCGACTTGGACCGGTTCTTTGAGCTTTCTGACGGGGGTGACGGGGGTGACAAGGGTGTCTCTGGTATCTTGGTGCCTCTTCACTGGAGAAGACTGGCCCTAGGCGCAGTAGATGGTCTGCAGCAGCACAGGATGACAGGGGACAACCCAGACCAGCGGGGGTCGACTGCAGTTCCTCTTGAGAGCATGTGGTCCGAGCCGAGATTGGCTTCATATAAAAAAAAATTGGAAGAAAAAAACAATCACCAAGAGGATGATGGTGGAGGGTGGAATTCATAGGCGTGTCGTAGTCGTTAGGTAGCTCTGAAGACGATGAAAGGCATCTGTTCGCAAGTCTGGATCGATCGAAGACGTACAGGAGCGTATAATCTATAGAGACCAGAGAAGGGAGAGACAAGATGACGGCGTAGGGATGGTCACTTCAGGTCGGACGGGAGTTGAGACGAATGGGAGGGATTGGAGGGGAGGGGACGAGAGAAGGTCAAGGATGCGGTGCCGCGCCATAATCGGAAAAGAAGATGGCTGAGAAGAAAGAGAATGGGAAAGGTGAGGTACCTGGATCAGAGACGGTTTCTATGGGCGATCGTACACAATCTCAAGTTATTCTCATGTACCTTTCCCTCGCCCAAAAAAAGACATTGAGAAACGTTCGCGTCAAGCCAAAAACAACAGGTGCAACCTTTTGTTCTTGCCATGCTTGCCCAATGTGGCCCAATCTGCGGTAGCGCATCTTCTGTGCTCCACTTGATACCCGCCAATCCAGGAACACGTCCATAAGAGGCCGCCCCACCCGCGCGAGGTACTCCGTACCTTGTTCTTGACCCAGTCACGTGCCAGGTACTCTCAGTTGTATGAAGTACAAGCTGGTGACCGTCCCCATTAATCCGTACCAGTCTCAAATTGGCTTAGTCATATCGAACGCCCTTCAGTGTGACGATCAAGCTCATTGCTGCGACATGACTTTGCAACTCCAGTCACACACTCACACCTTCAAAGGTCTCTCTTCATCTTCAAAAACCAAAGCCGAGCGAAATGATTTCTCACTTGTTGAGTGCTATAATAGAGTCTGGCGCGTACCTATCAATTAGCATACACCAAAACAAACTACCTATCGTGGCAGTCCAAAGTACTTGAGTACTTACACGAGCAGTTGGCAGGTGGGGTTCTCACGTGACCAGCAAGATCTGCTCGGCCCCACCACGAAATTTATCCGACATGGGAAGCGGTGTGAGAATTTTGTCGCTTCCAACGTCGGTGAGCCGTGGCAGAATCTGTGAATCGCATCGCATCGCCCAGGTCCAGCCCACGTTATCGTTCATTGTCGCCCGCTGGTAGAAGCCTGGCGAGGCATTTTTTGGCCAGTGGCGTCTCTGACCTACTGCGGATCAAACAGTCAATCATCCCGGCATCTCAGATTGCTGATCCGTCGCCAATTCCTACATATCGACCTCGAGGGCAGAATTTCTTGGGCGGTCACCACCACTCTGCGGTGTGCTGAATCTCGAGTATCGAGTTATAAGAGGTCAACAGAATAGTTTGGGCTAAACCCGGCAACGCTTTGGATTATTCGGCCTGGAATACCCGCCAAAACAATACACCATGGGTCGAAAACCAAACCCCGTGGTTGGGGAATATTTCACCCGGGGCCCCAAACTCCCAGATTCCAGCAACCGATACCCTCACACCTGCAAGCTGTGTGGTGAAAACTTCCCAAAGGGTCGAGGCGAGGTCCTACACAAACACATTACAGAAAAGTGCCCAGCCATTACACCTGAAGAACGCATCAACGCCGCACTCGGTTTCGCCGGACTTCACTCCGGCTCATCAGCCCCGCGATCAATGAATCTCCCCCTCAATCAACTCGACGTCGCCGTCGCCGAAGTCGCCCCCGAAGCACCTGAGAATTGGTCTGCCCTTCGAACGCTTGCAGAAGCCTCACGACAAGTCGGTGAGAATGAGATGGGGGCGCCTTCGGCACTTGGTCGCGACCGATCCGAGTCCGCTGTTCGACAACTCGGAATCGGCTTCGAAGTCCAGGAGCAATTCACCCTCGAGAATCCGCCATGCAGTTATGAGAATCGGCCTGGTCGTGAGCGGAAGGGTACGTTTTTATTATTATTCCCAGTTGTGGTCCTATTCCTCTCTCATCTCATTCTGCCCAGTTGAGGAAGGAGCACTGTTTTATTCTCATCTCATTATCTCAACTCAAACCCAGATGACCTGACTTTCCCAGAATCCACCTCGAATGACAGCACCAACCCTCTCAGCTTCCTCACAACCGAAGAAAAGATGGAACACTTGCAGGCTGCTACACAGCATCCCAACGAGTCACCTCTGGATTCATCGGATCTCACCGTCGCCGCCGCCGCGACTGCCCGCCTCACCCATTCCCTCATGGACCCTGAATTGGCTGCTGCCGAGCACAGCGAACCACTTCAAGTCATCAGCCCTGTAATGGAAACAGACGAGGTACTCAAGGCAGACGCCGCCGTCTCTGTCGAAGCCCTTTCCGGACACCCTCTGCCTCCGCAACTTCAGCAGTCTCAGCAGTCTCAGCAGTCTCAGCAGTCTCAGCAGTCTCAGCAGTCTCAACAGCCGCAGCAACAACCTCAACAGCCCTGGGGCGAGATGACTTACATGACTACGAACCACATCCCCGCAGTAGCCACTCATGTGGCCCCAATCGTACCTCCTCCCAACAGAGGCGGCACCCGTATGCCAATCGGCAATGGAACGCAGAGCGAACACAAGCGCAAGGCCTATAACCCGCTCCGGCGCAAGGAGGTTCAAGCCGCTCGCAAGAAGGGCGCCTGTATAAGATGCCGCATCCTCCGCAAGACGTGCGGCACCAACGACCCCTGCGACCAATGCCGAAAGATCCAAGGTCCGCGTCACTGGACTTACCCCTGCGTTCGTACTCGTCTGAACCAGGAGCTCACCCTCTACTCGGCCGCTTTGATAGTAGTCCTGGCGCAGACTAGGGTCAAGCACGCCAGACAAAAATACCAGCTGCTCTCCAATGGCACCTCCCTCGTCGTCTCCTTGTGGGAAGATAGCCCGAGTTTGACGCTCGCCGCTCTACTCACACCCCGCCCGCAGCCCCCTCCTGTGACCGAGGGAGAGACGGAGGAGCAGACGAGCCCAGACACAAAGACGGAATTTCGAGTCGTTATGATTGACCAAGATAAGGAGGACCTCCCTGCCCGCATGGAGGAGTTCCTAAAGTTGATTCTACCGACACTCATCCAGCGCGAGCCCTCCCACTTCATGCAAGTCGTCTTGGCGGCCGCGCAAAAGTTCCCCGACAACAAGACGACAGGCAAGAACCTGAAGCTCGCCATTGAGCTCTGGGGTCTCATTGAGATTCTTGACCGCGAGCGGGGCTGGTGCATATCCGAAGAACGCCAAGGCGTGGTCGTGCCCATTGGCCCCGAAGAGTTTGCCGGCAACGACGACCAGGACATTTACAACCTCATCACCTTCCAGCTGTCCGCCGCCACGGAGCGCAAGGCCAACAACGTCTCGAACAAGCTCATCAGCGAGCTCCAGCGCTGCTTGGAAAACGGCAAGGCCAAGATCAACTTTGACGTCTACCTCTCAATCCTCATCCTCCTTCACTGCCTGGAAAAGACCACCTGGACCTTCAAGGTGTGGGAGATGGACGACTTCCGCCAGCGCTGGCCCCTCGATCGCCCTCCCACCATGTACGTCAACCAGGGCCGGGACATTGCCGACCTTTTGAAGATGCTCCTTACACTTCGAAAGTCTCACCCCAAGACATTCCGCACCCTCGATGGCCGGTTGAGTGTAGTCGACCTCGGCGAATCGGACTTTGACATGATGGCCGAGTTCTTTCATGCCCTGAACCTCGAGTGTAAGTTTTCGTTTTCCCATGGTGCTCAAGTAAATGAGACGTATGCTGACACCTCCCAGACGACGACGTTATCAGCAAGCTCGAGAACTGCGCCTTCAGCCCAGAGACCTCACGCTCCCTCGAACTGCACTTTTGCAGCCACGTCCTGCTCCCACCAAAGGAGGGCGACCACGGACACCACCATGCCGTCACAGCCTCCAGCTCTGGCCACAGCACACCTCCGCCTCCCCACCCTCATGCCCCGCCTCACCCTTCAGCCGTCCCCGTGGCTTCAGCCTCCCCTGTTCCCGTCTCCGACACCGCTATGACGGGGGCATCTCCTGACCCTGCTCCTACTCCCGCCGAGTCGCTGCCGACTGATCTGCCCTAGTACGGGGATTGGTCCTGGCGGTATTACACCGGACACTAAGCCGCTGCTACATGTTCCGTGAAAGGAGAGACATCACAGCACGCATATACAACTCACGATGAATGACTGGAACGAAAAAAAAAAAAGATACCTTTTTCAAGGAAACAACAAAAAAAAACACCCCTTAATGATGTACGACTACAACTACCACCTCCATTGGAGACCACCAACAAAAGCAAAACTTCATTCAAAAGAACCAAAAAGGGATACCAAAAAAGGAAGCCACAGGACTTGGGTTGGCGTGAAGACTTTGGCACTTTGGGAACAAGGAAAGAAAAAAGGGAAAAGCAGAAAAGTTTATACTGTTACATGGCCTCTCTTCTTTAGATAGATGGCCTTAAACGACACACCAAAAGTTCACTTAGAATTCGTCACGGTAGATAGATACCCCCCCTTTTTCAAGCCAAATCACCATTTCTGCCCTGTAAAGGATTGCGTCGCACATCACCATCACAACTCACTGAACCATGACCGTGTGTACCTTGAACTTGTTTGTTATTGCAAAACATGGGCTATCCGACATTGAACATTTCATCACTCATGCGCCCGCCCCAATCTGGCAGACGCGATTCTTCCCCTGAGTTCATTTCAGGTCCACGGCAAGGTAGGCCTGCGACAACGTGAGCCATGGTATCCCAGGGCCTCCAATGCCTCCCAACCCAATGGCTCTGCTCCTTCATAACCAGACCAATCGCTCTTCAACCCATTAAAAAGCCCAGATACCCGACTTCCTCATTCTGCACTGAGGAGGGGGCCACTAGCCCTTGATACTCGCCGCAGAATCGCCGGTGCCCGTCCTCGAGGGACCAATGCCGGGCCGCTTGATCTTCCTGAAGCACGTAAACTCGTTCTTGCTCGCCTCGCGCAGTCGCTTCAACACGCTTCTCATCTCCGGGAGCTCGCTCTGCAGGCGGGCACGCGCGTCGTTATCGGTGCGCCCATCGAGCTCCTGGTAAATCTCGCTCTGGAGCGCCGAGGCGCGATCGGTGGTGTACTGGCTGAGCGTCTGGGCGACGAACTCGACGTCCAGGGTGGCCTGCATCAGCGCCTCGAGGGTGTATCTCTGTCGTGTGCGGAACGCCTCGAGAAGCTCACGGCTGGTTTGCTCGAGGAGGTATGAGAGCACCTGCGAGGTGAGCGTGGGCGCCGTGGTCGAGACTTGGGTGTGGACGAGCACGAGACTGAGGAGAGCTTCGTAGACGTAGGGCCTCGCTTCCCGCGGTTTCTGGCCCACCTCGGGAACCCAGTCGGGCGAGGCAACCCCGGCTCTAACAATGTTGCGCAGCTCTTCAATGGATGGGCGGGTGTAAGATTGGAAGAGCCTAGCATCGATCTGGCCCAGAACATCCTTGATCGTTTTGGATTCATCACTGAGTTTGACCGAGAACGCATTCTCAAACTGCGAGTTGAGACTCGGCACGACCTTGGCTCGAAGTGACTGTAGGTTGCTGAGAGTGAGGAGCATACGAACGTTCTATACCTCGTGTTAGTAGACGATTACTCCAATACCACATACAAATCAAACTCACCCTGTCTCCCGCGTCGAGTGTCGCTCTTCCACCGCTGGGAGCGGGCGCAGCGGAGGCGACAATAGTTCCATCCACATCCGTGGTCCAATCGTCGTCGGCCTTCTTGACAGATCGCTCGGCGTTTTCCACCATGCCGCTCAACGCCTTATAGAGCGTCGTGACGTACTGGCTTCTGACCATCTGCAAGAGTTTACTAGGCGGTGGGAGGACAATATCCCCCGCACCAGGCTTCGACATGGCTTCGGATATGTATAGAATCTTCTGCATGCCCGTGAGCAACGCGCCTTCAAAGGCAGAAAAGCTCGAGGGCATGCGGGTGAGGTCGCCCAGTTCCGGTGATCGGTACCAGTCCTCGACAAACTTGATGTTTTCAGCGTCCTTGTTCCATGCTGCGCAAAGGGCGGTGACGCATCGTTCTCTGGAAATATTAACGAGCGTCTTAAGTCTGTCCAATACGCCGGCATCCGACCCATTGGCTACCGGACCGATGCTCGCCAAGTCAGACGCGCCTGAACCGACCAGCGCGAGCATCTTGGAGAGATAGTGGACGCCACTGACGGAGTTTGACCACGGAGGCCAAAAGGCCAGCTTCTCCCATGTCTCGCCGCGTTTGGGCGAAGGGGGAGGGATGTTGTTAGGGTCGAGGTTAAGGCGAGGATCTAAGAGTCCGGTGGGCGTAGAGTTGCCGGCTCCTGCAGAGGGCGGGCTCTTGGGCGATAGGGGGAGGGGCGAGAAGAGCAACGAGATATCCTCGGGTGGCGGGCCTGCGAAGAAGGCAAAGACAGTCTCGCGGATCATGTCAACGAGCTCCAGTGTGCCCTTTTGCAGGTCCCCAGCACGCTCCTCTGGCAGCTGATGATGGGTCTGTGATTCTCCATTGTAACCCAAGGGCAGCGTGCGCTGGATCTTGCCATCCAAGAAGCCCTGGACCGTCTGCCAGAAGTCTACAACTTCTCCCAGGATGCCTTGTGCGGACAGGATACTGGATAGGAAAGCCAACATCTTCTCCCATAACTCTATCACGTCGGCGGAATCGGCCGAGGCTATCTTGTTCTCCACGGCCGCACGTCCCAGAGACCGTAGATGCGATGCAACCGCGTGGGCGCCGGGCTTATCGGCGTTGGCCAGGCGTCGTCGCAGCACCTCCACCTCCACCTTGGAGCGGTCTGACGTCGACTGAATCTTCCCCTTGAGGTGGTCGTACCGACTAAGCAGCCAGACCCAAATCGGATTGTCGTCCACGCCCAGCTCGAGAAGCAGACTGATGAGTTCCATGTGCTGGTCTTGCTGGCCCAGGTTGTCGGCCTTGGAGACGCCGTGAAGCGTGACGAGCTTCCGCCACACATCCCGCTTGAAGGCTTGGATCTGCTCATCCACATCGTGCCATATGCGTGCCGCCACAACAATCTGATAAATGTCGGTCTGGCTTGAAGAGCCCGCTGCGGCGTTTGCTGCCAGTGCTCTTGCATCGTCTGAGAATTTGCGCGCCTTGTTGTAGTCCTCCACAAGACTCTCGTAGTCTCTTCGTTTGATGCTCTCGGCAATTGCAGAGCTTAATTCGATATGCTCCTTGAACTGATCCAGGTTCGCCGACACAACCTTGAGGTTCTCCTCCTTCTCGCGTCCTCCCAGCGCCGGACCCCACACATCTTCCGCCTTGGCAGAGACATCCAGAAGAGGCGCCTTGATTCCCGAGACTCCGTACTCGCTTTCCTTGACCAGGGCGTTCTTCTTACGAGCGTCGGAGGTCGGGGACCCAAGGGATGCAGCAAGGTTCATACCGCCGTTGCTGCCTCGGAAGCTGCTGCGACTAGCGTGGCGAGAGTGAGCTCGAGCACGGCCTGTCGTTGGCGGAGGAGGCGGCTCGGCGCCGCGATACTTCATCTCCTTGTACACATTATCAATGGTAGCCTTGGCCTTGACGAAGCGCTCAAAGTTGGTCTCCACCAGAACCTTAAGTGATGCGGATTTTTGATCGATTGACTGGGACAGCATGTCCAGGCCGGTCAACAAGCTTTGGGTGTCGGCAGTCGCATGCATTTGCGAGAGGAACAAGGCGGGAGAGAAGGTGGTGGAAGACAGGAGGAACCGGTTGCCTAGACGCTTGTCAGTCTTTGCCGTGTTTGTAACAGTAACGAGTCCACGTACGCAATCGCGGATCGTCCTGAATGGGAACTCCCAACTGGCGGAGTGTCCTGACGACGCTGTCGGTGGTGCCCAAGGGATCAGGCTCGTCGCGCTGGACAATATTGGCAACACCTCCCTTGTCCGACTGAGCTCCGGGGATTATGCTGCGCCGGTCACTGACGGCTCTCTCGAGCGCCTGGTATCGCGACTTCCGGCGCTGCAGCTTCGCCTTCTTCTCGTCCTTTGCCTCGTCCTCATCGTCGGATGCATCGCTCTGGTTCTTCTCGGCTGGCCATTCGTCGGGGTATGGGTTTGGAAGCTGGTAAAAGTCCAGGATAGTTCTCTCGTAGTCTGACGACATTATGGGGTATCGGTATCTCGAATGGTGGTGGTTTGCAAAGGGGTAAAGCGATCGTTGGTTGTCCCAGCCGATCGATGAGCGGCTGGGGGGCTCGGCGAGGGAGCTTGCTGCTTGCAAGGCGTGTAGCTGTTTCAAAGGTAAAAGACGAATAATTCCATTGGCCAAAGATGAATGATTGACAATGCCACACAGGCAATCAGAATGCCAAAGGTGCAGAGGCACTGCGTGAGTGCGACAAAGTGAAGAGCAACTAGGTGGAATGGAAACGTGAATTGGCTGTGTTCTGTCCAAGATGGCAGCTACCTGCTGTCCTGCTCAAGGGTACAGAGAGAGAGAGAGAGAGAGAGAGAGAGAGAGAGAGAGAGAGAGGTACCTTGGTGACAACGGTGCAGCCCACTTGGTGCATTCTGTGGCACACACCGAGAACACTCACCGATACACACCATGAGTTCTGGAGGTGAACTCGGTCAGGTGGGCGGGCTGGTCAACGATAACAGGCAGGTCCTCGACCGGCCGGAAAAGTCCATGTCCGTTCCTGCCACCCGAAGAAAAATTGGAGAAAGGTGGGGTATTTGAGCCACATATGTGGCTAGATTTGTGGCTAAACCTTCGGCAGCAGTCGGTGCTAGGAGGTCGGTCATCGATAATCCCGCGGGATGTTTTCTTTTGCCAGTGAAGACACAGCGCCGCTTTACTGGGGATCCCACTTTCGGGATGCTCAACCTCGGATAAAGACTACTCAGGGAATAAGATACTATGGAGATGTTCAAGACTATGTGAATGACAGCATTTGTGCTTTCCAGAAAACATCATGATTCAACTTTGTAGAAGTCCGAAAGATGGTAGAAAATAAAGTCCCATGAGAGCATTAGAAAGTCAATCAAGAGTAGTTTTTTTTCTTCCGCAGCAAAGCCGCTTACACCTGCCGGTGCAGCCAAGACCCC